CACCAAAGGTTTTTGTCAGAAACCGCTCGTGTTTAAGTAATGATCCGGGTTAGGTGGATAGCAATTTCTTTTGTTATGCGGCAACGGTGCTTTCCCCCCATAGGAATGTTCTCATTTTTACACAGAGAATGCATAAACCTACATGAAGGCCGTTTACGCAGTACAATGCATTTGCACTCCACTTTGATTTTGTTATATGGAAAATGGTTGGAAAGTAAGGATGAATATATCTACTGCTTTATGAAGTTTTGTTAACTTTTGCTGTTTAAGCCAATCAGAAGTAAGTACAGACAATAGAAAAGTTAGCACCTTTTTTGCATTCCAACATGTTCGTTGCCGTTGTTGCTATCGTTCTTATCTGGACCGTTTCTTTAACGTTTAGGGGGTTCGAACGAACCACCCGAACCACACGAACCACACGAACCACCCGAACCACACGAACCACACGAGCCACCCGAAACACACGAAACACACGAGCCACCCGAACCACACGAACCACCCGAACCACCCGAACCACTCGAACCACCCGAACCACACGAACCACCCGAACCACCCGAACCACCCGAACCAGCCATGGATCCGCCCCAGCTCATTGAAGAGGGTCTCAATGGGGTGGTGGCCTCTACGGTTATCGGCTAAAATTTTGGCTCTTTTACGGCTATCGGTTAATTTTTTTCAGTTACGGTTAACGAAAAAGTTAAAAATTAACTTCTTTTGTTTCAAAAAATTAAATATTAATTAACCTGTATTTTTTTGAATAAAGGTCTTCAGATCATCTCAGGATTATCCGTTCCAGATAGCCTGTGTACGGCCGCCCACTCCACTCAGAAAATTTCGGAGAAAGGGTGTCTGTGGGGAGGACGCGACTGTACACAGGCTAGTCTCAGACGGATGATCCATTTCTAGCTCTAGTGTGAAAATGGCCAATAAATTCCCGTGTCCAGTGTTTTTAATGATAGTGAAGGAATGTACGGAACGACTGTCTGCCGTTGCCTTGTCCGTAGGCCGCATTATTCCGTGCGGCTAATGCGTTTCGGGTCACGTGGTCCGAGAGAGTTCGCCACCGAAATGCCTTGACCGAGATTGCGTGGGAAGACGCTGTACGGGGACTAGGCATGGCAATGTCTACCGTAGCGTCAGAGAAAAACAGGGAAATGTTGTTTATCGGCAACGTGTTTTACAAACAGTGACATCTCTGCGTGTTGTTTCATTAGTGTTTCGAGGGAACGACCTCCGGAAAATTGCAAATATTAATCCCAAGCAAGAAGCCACACTTTCGCTATGGAAAAAATTAGTTCCCCGAGAGAGCGCCGGAAATGGAACCTAGGTCTTGGTTAAGGCGCTTCGCCTAACGTGCGTACAGAATCACACTAGCCGGGAAGTAAAAAACCGAACCATAAGTGAGTTTAGTATCTTCCTTAAAAGTGGCAAATCTAGGAAACACTTTCTTTTACGGTTAACTCTTTTTTACCCTATTTACGGCTAACGGTTAAAATTTTTCAATTTTTACGGCTATCGGCTAAATTTTTGGCCGTTTTACGCCTATCGGTTAACCCCATTGAGACCCTCATTGAATCGCGTGAATGATTCACCTCCAGCGGTTATGTCTTTCTCCGGCAGAGAATTATGTTTTTAAACTCTTCTCGGAATTTTGTAGCGCGTAAACCATAAATAATCGGGTTGGAACTCACAGCGAAAACAAACATGAAATCGAATACACCCACAAGAATGACGTATAACTCATAGTCTTGAGCTAACTGTTCATTATTTCGTGTAGCTACAATTGCGTAAAAAACTACAACTGGTGCAAAGGCAATAGAGAATAGTGTTGTTGAAATCATCAAAGTGATAACGAGTTTCTTTTTCTCCGACGATGCATCTCTTTCTGTTTGCGGGTAAACTCTGTTAGAAAAGTACAGTTCCCTCATCAAGCAGCCATAGCAGTAAAATATGGTCACCATTTCAATAAAAACAATTGTTATATTTATGACCGTATAAATTTTGCTTGCTTGACTCATGTAAAAGGTCCATGGACCGATGCATGTCTCCTCTGTCTCACTCCATTTTTTAAGAAAAAATTCTGGGAAACAAATTACAAGGCTTGAGAACCAAATGAAACAGATGGTGTACTTGATTTTGTCTTGAGTTAACCACAAACCTGCTCTGAATGGCGTCAATATAGCGTTGTATCTTTCTATTGCTAGCACTGTAAGAGTGATAGAAGATACCTTTATGGAGATTTCAATAAGAACGACAAATTTGCAAACGAATTTGGCAAATTCAAAGAAGTAGAACGACCAGAGCAAAATGGTGATGATATCGCTAGCAGCCATGCTCGCCAAAAGAAAATTTGTCGGAGTATGCATTTCTCGTGTCTTCTGCACAATTCGAATAAGCAGCACATTGCCGATAAAGCCAATGACGAGAAATGGAATGCTTGAATAATAAAGAGTGTATTCCAGGGATTCTTCGTATTCAGCCATGTTGCCCTCTCGAAAAGTCTCACAATTTTGTAAAACTATTAATAGCTTTTAAAGGTTCATACTAGATTAATCTCTTAGTTGCTCCCGAAAACATCTGTAAAAGCCAGGCGCCATACATCATAACTAGCCTGTGTTGTCCGTTTATATATTATAATGATCAACGGCATGGCAAACTTCAATATACGGAGGTCTTCATAGCCACCCACTATGAACGCAGCCAGAAGCCAGTTAATTGCCTTTCTTGTTCTGTCTACTGGTTCGTATTCATTTTTGGTTTGGCTTTTGTCACGTAAAATAATATGAATATAATTGTTGATAATTGTTACTTTGAAAAAAAAAAAGGCAAATCTTTTTCAAAGCAGGTTATTACTGAGCTTCATTGTTAGTTTTGAGAAACTTAGGGTTTCTAGCCCATGTGTTTCTGCACAGAACTTTAACCAGTTGTTTCCTCAAGCATACGTAGTATTGAGCTAAATTGGTCCTTAATTAGTTTGCCAGCAAGCCAGTGTAAGGAAATACAAACTTTATAAATAGGCTCTCTTGTCATTTGAAAAGTTGAAAATTCTAATGTCTGTAGAAAAGTGAAGAGACAGATGGTTTCTTTCAAAGCGGTTCACCATAGAGCCTATCATTGCTCACTGCGGGAGAGACGGTAACTTTATCATTCTTTAGATCGCGTAACCAAGGACCCTACGATAACGAACTTTGCCTCCTGTATTTTTGGTAAGCCACCAAGCCAAAAATTGTCAGTGGTCATGTGATTTTTCGTCCCCTCACCACATGAGAAACCTTGTGAAACGGCATGCAATATGGGCAATATGGAAGTTCGCATAGCCACCAATCAACGGCGATTTTGAAAAGGAAATAACTCTTGGCTACAAGATTTGTTAACCTGGACCGCCCGTTACCGTGCACGACGTCCTTAAACCCATAGCTTTCCTGAATAATGCAGGAATAATAATAATGGTTTTGCTTTTTAAAATGGTAAAAATGTATGAGAAGAACATCGCACAGAATGCCTATTGTTCTCAGGACATTTACTTCCAGTTCAACAAAGTTCGTAGATTTGACATATTACGCGCAATCATGCAGAGACTCTGTGAAAGCGCTTCAGCCATTAGTTGCCAAGAATGCACGACGAAGCTTATCAATATGTTGTAGGTGGCAAACTAGACAATGAACGCAGCACGCTACTAGTGATTTGGAAACTTGAGTTCGTGCCCGTTTGTCTCAAAGTCGCCGAGCTTCATACGATGTCGACATATTTTTCTAGTAAAATACAGCTTTTTGGGCTTTTTGTTTCTTTCCTGCCATCCATATCCGAAATTGTTTATTTTTCTTAGCCTTTATTGGTGAGACGAAAGGAAACCTCTGTTACCTGTAAGAAGAAATCTTTTTTATCATTTACCGACACTCATTAAACATTAATTTCTTTCATATTTTGTCATTAAGGCAATTTTACATTATTTCATTGTTAAGACATGAAAAGACTGGATGACGACAGTCACTTCAAGACGCTCTCTACGAGTGACTCTGCTATTTAGTACTGGCACATTGGCTGCTAGCTACGCTCGCAACTGACTTATTCCACTCAGATAGGGAGATTTTAGTAGGACATTTTGCCTTTACAATAACAGTGCAGTACTCCCCGTCTCTCAAAAGTGTCGTGCTTCTTGAAGTTAATATTACTGGTTGCAATCAAAGGTACTGTAACTCTTCCCCTTTAGTTATTAGTATTTTAACGTTACCTGCGACTGTAGAGGCCCAGGAGGACCACTATACAAGATACTACTACGCTCACGGAACTGTTGTTTTTAAAAGTGTGAATATCGACGTGCATCTTGTCAAGAAGAAGAATTCTTGACCAACAGAAATTGTCCTATTAATATATTAACGCTAGTGCATAGTTCGGGCTTTTAGGGACTGGCCATTCGAACACTTATGGAGGAGGGGGTGCGGGCTAAGTACAAAAAAAATATTCGCGCAAGGGAAAATTAAATGAAAAAAATTCATGCAAGCCAATTAATCCTAAAAAATATTTATGCCATGGCCTAAAAAAAATTCATACAAGGAATTTGATAACAAAAAAAATTCCTGCGGCTCGAAAATTCCCCTCCCCCCCTAAGTTTCTAATGGTCCGTCCCTTACGGTGAGTGGCTTGTGAACTGTGACACTAAATAGTGCATTCCTGATTAAGTAATTTTCCAGTGTCGAGTGGCTCGTTAGTCTGCTTCTTTTGCTTTTGAAAGAGTAAGACAAACATAACTTTAAGTACTTTCACAGGTAAAAGGTCCTCATAATTATTTTTTTCCATTGTGTTGGTAAGAAAATCTTACTACAGTCGACTCCCGATAACTCGAACCCTCGCTAACTCGAACCTCGCGCTAACTCGAACCAAAACCGATTTCCCCTGGATTTCCGTCATACACTTACTGCAATTTTACCCTCGGTAACTCGAACCCTCGATCGAACTCCCGCTAACTCGAAACAATTTTCGTTTCCCCTCAGGGCATTTTCTATATAATTTTACTCTCGATAACTCGAACCGTGTTTTGAGCCCTTAAAAAGTCGGGAAAAAAGCAGTCTACTGGCGTCCGAAACATTGAATTTTGGATTTCCTATTGACGTGTTGTAGGAGTATAGTTTACTAATGGAGGCTGATGTTGATTGTCACAGGCTAACGTGAAGCAGCTTTACTTCTCAAAACAGTAAAACGCATGCTCTGTTTAGGCTATGTTTTGTTACGTTACGTTCTGATTTATAATATAGAAGTATCTTTTAATTTTCACGTGACATTTCTGCAATTAAATGTGATTAAAATGTTCACTGTTCAGTAAAAACTGTTTTTTACCTTACCCTCAGCTATTTTCTTCGAGCTCCTGATAACTCGAACTGTTTTCGATTTCCCTTGCAGGTTCGAGTTATCGGGAGTCGTCTGTATCTTAGTTAGATTACATTACTTGAGTACTGAAAAATTATATTAAGAGACAAAAAGTCACGTTAATTTGCAGCGAAATATTTCTTTTGCGCAGCAGGTAACAGAAAGTGGAAAAGTGGAGTGGTGGGTACCGCCTATCTAACGTTTCTCACGGCCTAGACTCTTTCTTGTGCCTTTTCCCGGGATGCTTTTTGTATTCTATCGATGTAATCCTTCAGCCTTGCAATTAGCTGGTCACCCTCGGTTGTGCTGTTCGTACCAATAATGCTAGTATCTCTTGTAAATTTACAGGCTTTGGTCGCTTCTGTGAATTAAAAAAAGTACCTATTTGAAAATAAACAATCAAAAATCTTGTTTATTCCTAAATAAAGTCTATTTTTCGATACTTTATTTTAACGGACACCTCAATAAGGTGGTCATTTCTATAAGGGTGGACACCAGTCTGACAGATGGACACTGCTGTCTAATATAAAGGTGGACAAAAGTCCATTAGAAAGTAACTAGGACACCAGTTCATCAGATGGACGTCTTTATAATGGCGGACACGATAGTCTGTGAGATGGACTTCTATACCAGGGGGGTTGGGGGAACCTCTATAAGGGGAAACACCTATGTAAAACGAACAGCTCTATAAGGTGGATACTTAGTGCCGGTAGTCACAGTTTTCACACCTGAGATGCATGACCTCTTGTGCCTGATTGCTGGCCCAAAATGACTGGTGTTAACATCCTGGGTACCCAATAGGTAAATGTGTATACAATTGCTTCATTTCGCCCGGTTAGATTCAATTTTGAAACGCTGAGCCTAGCCAGGAGCTTTGTTTATGCGAGGCAGTGAATTTTTTTTTAAAATATTTATTACATTATTCCATTTCATTGCACAATACACCATACGAGCATCAATCACTTGCGTACATGTGTTCGAAAAATTAACACTAACCAACACCTAATAACAAAGCCCAAAAGTCATAACCATATAAATTCATATAACAAAGGCAAGGCTTTGGTCTGCCTCGGAACTGAAAGAAAACGTATGTACAGAGGGACCCTGTGCCTGCTTTAAGCATCCGCGAGTACAAGTTCTCTAAGGGTATCTGCCCAAGGAGTAAGGTACTCAGGCGCTGTGCCCTGGAACCAATGCAAGTGAACAAACCTGGATCTGATTCCGTTTGCTTTACTTTCTTTTTGTTGTAGAGTATTTCCCAGACAAACCCAAAGATTGCTAAAATGCCCAATACGCCAGAAAGAAGATAAATCGCCAAGTAGACTTGCGGGGAGTCTATCTGCAAAGAAGTGTCCCCACGAGGCGCCGTCTTCAGATTGAGCTGTTATCAAAAAAAGACAGAAAAGTCCATAAAACTAAAGAAAAACGTAGGATTTACTGTAGTTTTTGGGATCACCTTTCTTTGGAAATTAACGTTTCAAAGGCTTCTTTCACAGACTTTTGTCTTTTATTGATTTTATATCATCATATGCTTAGGCGTTTCTTATTTTGTAAGTAAACAATCTACTCTCACTAAACTCTCAAACGCACTGCGACGGTAATAAAAGCGTATTCTGCCACCGACACTGCTGTTACTACCGAAATTTTACTTGAATATTTCTCTCTTGGGCTGTGCTAAAAAACCTCTTTTTTCTCGATGAAATATTTATAAATTATGTTGGAAATTTCATTGTTTTTACTTGGTTTAGGCCATTAACAACAAGTTTTTAAAAACATGAGTTGATTAGTACCTTGTATGTATTAGTGATGGCCTGAACCGCAGAGATCATAGCTGCACGGTTTAAACTCAAGCAGTCTACAAGTTCTTCATGTTCTCGTGCAACTATTACGGTAACTCCTTGCGAAACTTCTATCTTTTTTCTTGAGAATAAAGTCTCAAAGGTGCCGTTCACTGTGAAGTAATAAAATGCTGTGTAATGGTCAATTAGGATGCCTTCAACCTCCTTTGCTCTCACGGCAGCTTCCATCTTGTCAACTGTTTCATAAGCTAAAATGTAACAAAATTTTAAGAAATCATCATCAGTATCCGTGATAATCATCCTTAAAATAATCGAAGTCTTCTTGTTATCCGGCATTTTTATCTTCACCTGTATATAACCTTCTATAGTATATAACGTTCTTTAGTAAAATCCAACTGGTGGTCTATTATCAATGCTGCGTTCTGATTGGTTGAGCTACTACTAGGCTATATGTTATAGCCTACTAGTAGCGAAACGCGCGGGCTTTTTGGCGGCAAAAAAAAGGATTAAAGTCTAGCTTTAACTAGCTAATTTTTTTATTCTCGATATTTTTGACCAACAGTTGGATTTTACTAAATCAATTATTCCTCTCGCCCTCATAGCCTCTGAGTCAATAGCCCATTCGGCCTTCGGCCTGATGGGCTATTGACTCAGAGCTCATTCGGGCGCGAGGAATAATTGTTAAATAGTTGTGTCAGTGAAAGAATACCCAAACGTCGTCCCATTCACTTATTGGGTACATCCGAGTAACTACCTAGAAGTGCAAGATAATATCTATATAAAAAAATGTGAAGTAACCATTAAAAAACAGCCATATATAATGGCAATTAAACTCAGTGGAGTGTACTGAGTGGTCTGAAATCATACGCGAGATTTCAAAATCCCGCCGAGTTCGATTTGAAATCACAAGTACATGATTTCAGACCAAAACTGCACGACACGAAGTTCAATTACCACTTTATCATTTAAAAGCCAATTTGAAATCGCAGAATTCAGTCAGTACCAATATTTAATTGATCTATTAGCCGGTTCGTTGAAAAGCGGAAACAAAAATCTTTTACATCTCTGTATTAGCCTGCGTGGCCGGCGTTTTAAAAGGGAAGGGAAAGGGAGTTTTGGGAAAGGGAGTCTGTATTTGTTCTGAAATCATACGCGTGATTTCAATATTGAACGAGTGCGCAGCGCGAGTTCGATTTGAAATCACAAGTATGAATTAAGACCAAAACTCAACGGCACGAAGTTCAATTACAACCTTATTACATCCATTTTACCTGCAATTTGATTTGTTACTTTAAACGAGATTTGAAATCTGTTTGGTTGTGCTGTTTTATTGTCCTTTTTCACTAGCTGCGAAAAAGATGCTATTCAGAGCAAAAAATGGTACAATTTGGGGATAAATCACACTGTTGAGAACCACTCGCGGATATCCCGAATCGCCAGTGATTTCGAAATGGATATACCAAAGATATAAAATAGCCTTCAGAACAGGCGTTATTCCATTCGCGTTTTTCACGCGAGCGAAGGCAAGCGCGAAAAGAGCGAGGAGCTCCAGACATGTCAGTAATATCTTCTTGGTTATTTCATATAACAATCTTCACTTGGGCTTTTGAAATAAAATGTTTATGTCACGGGGTCTTACGCATTTAAAACAGTTGTTTCTAGGGTGAAAATAATTATGATATCAGTGTACTGACCTATGGGTATAGCTCCTTCCTGTTCCGCCCAGTAATATTCCGATTGATTTTTGAAAAGCGCCACCTGATGATTTAACATGAAAGAAATTTTGTGTTGTAATCAGCACTGGAGTATCAGCCGGAATAGAAGGTACGACTATTGAAGGTTCAAAAATTTAAGCAGTAAAAACTTTTTAGAACGATAAAGAACAAACAAGTAAAAAGGAGAATCACAAAAACAGGAACAGTAACGCACATGAGTCAGAAGAAAATAGAAGAAGGAATGACAAAACCAAAAAATTCATTGCAAAAGTGGTTCGTGCATTGTAGTACTGAAAACATAAACCTTATTGATTTCGGTGCACGGACAGAGGAAAACATTTTCGAGTCATAAGACTGAAACCGTTTCGTTATTTTTTAGGGGAGGAGTGTGCCAAGTCGAGAGGGGGGGGGGGGACCTTTCCATTTGCCTCCCAACCTTTTTTCCCTTTATAGTCACATCGTCCTGCTCCAGGGTGTACGACGTCAGCACAGAGGTGACATGAGCTACAAAAACGGCCATGGAAATTACTCCAGTTAATATCCACATCACAGACACAACACGTGCGGTGCTTGACTTAGGGGTTTTGTCACCGTATCTGTGGAAAAATATCAGAATTTATTGTATGCTTTAAATCTCCTCGGACTATGCAAGACTAATAATAAAATTCACACACAATATATTGGAGAATTGGTTCATGCTTTGCGTGCGTATACACACTATACTTTATTTTCATACACATATATCGAGTTATAGACTATGCACGCGGGAAGTTTGAAGAGCGCGTGAGGTGGAAGCGTAAGAATTGCTTGAGCGCAGCAAGAGGGACCCAATAGGACTTAGATAGGGCAAGCACGCGCGATATGTTGCTAAAACACTAAACCTGCCTAATCAGATAATTTGATTGTTTTCAGCTATAGCACTAAAAATATCACTGTCTTTTTATAAGAAAAAATGCTACTAATATATAGACTTCTAACCACCAAAAAATGCTACTAATATATAGACTTCTAACCACCACAACACACTTCAGAATCAAAGAGAAGTCATAGACCCTGTCCTTGCTAGATAAAATGATATTTTTATACAGTTTGGCCTTGCGTCAACATGAAAACGACCAAACGCAACGCTTTTGAAAAACCCCCTTACTTATCGTGATAAATATTGAGACTTCGGTCTTTTCAAATATAAACTTTACACAGGTTTTGAAACAAATGGTTTAGAGCGGTTTTCACTTGACTGTCGAAAGGGATTGGTTTTGGTTTTGGTTTTGGTTTTACTACGCCCTTTGGTTGGCTAGTGTATTTACTTTGGTTTTGGTTTTACGACAGTCAAGTGAAAACCGCTCTAACTCTCCTATAATTGACGTACCCAACCGTTGTCATGGAGACAAATGACCACCAGAATCCTTCCCAGGATCCTTTAAGAAACGATCGTGAAAACTCGTCACTATTCCAGCGCGAGTCCTAAAATATATAAAATGTGAAAATCTTCCGTTAGATACGTTATGTCATTAATCTCAAGTCAACCATAATTTCCCATTGGCTCGTTGGAAATGTGTCATCTTTCCTTTTCTACTACTGTAACTAGAGAAACAAGGCAGTGGTATATCGCATAGGTAAGGGTTAGAATCGAGGCAAGCCTGAATTTTTTTCAGCATCATTTTTTACAACTGCGTAAGTTGCGTCTACAACTGTGATGATCTTAGTATTTATTTCTTCATCCTGTCAGTTCAAATATATGAAACTCGATCATTTATTCATTATTTCAAGGCCCATTTTAAAAAATACAGAAGAAAAATTCCCAGTTCATGACCATGGACCGTTTTGGCAAACTCTCTCGGGCATAAGCTATCAAAAAAACTTCACGCCTCTGCGTCCATTTTTTGTTGGCTAACTTACTAATAAAAATTAAACCGCATAAATCTTACCAGTGCCCAGACTATCACTCCTGCAATGGCCGTCAGGAGCATGGTAATGAGGAGGAGAGGCCAAGCTTGAAATACAGCGATTAAAATAACACTTAATGCTTGCTTGTTTGTTTTGCTTGAAGCGATAAACTCAATTCCAGGATGATCCAACACTTTTACGATGTGTGTACCCTTGGTATTCGCACTATTCTCACCAAAATTATCCAGAACAACAGGTAATCCGACATGCGCTTTACCTTCCTGGACAAGTCGTATCAGATCACTTATGCTGAACACTTGGAAAGACTCAATATGGTAATCAATGCTATCGACGCATCCTAATTCTATAAACTCCCACACAGTTTTTCTTAGTAGACCTCTCGGCTCCCCTCCAGCCCTAAACGAGCCTGGTCCAAAAATATATGGGTGCTTTTCCATCCATGCAATTTTCAAATTTCTCCTTATTACTTTTGGCCTTGTATTGTTTTGCCAAGAATATACCAAGTACATGAGGTTCAGCAATAGTATAAAAGTCTTGAAATACATGACGTGATGATAATGTATTTTTTTCTGAAAAAAGAAATAAAAAATGCAAGTCATGAAATGAATAATAATCCGGGCGTATCCGATCTTAAGAAACTATTACTTTTCATTTTTCTATTGAGAATTTGTTTCGAAAAAAAGTATTAAAACCCGATTATTTACTAGCTGATGAGGTGATATCCCATAAAAAAAAATCAAAAAGTGTCAAATGTTTCTAAAAAACGAACGTTTCGGGTGCGGTTTTCCTCACACTGCCGAAGAGGGCTCATACCCGAATATTAAAGTCTGGGGCTTTTTTTTCTTAATTTTACACTTTTTGATATTTTCAATGGGATATCACCTCATTAGCTATATAAGTACAGGTGTCACGCCTCAATGACGGTTTTTCGTTCACGAATGATCTTTTACTGTTTAATTTCAATAATGGAAAGTCCTTTGGCAACTTGTTTTTTCGAAATGTTTGCCTTTGAAAGACAGTCAGGCAAGGCTCTCTATAGGGAAGCAGTTTGTAGACGCCTTGGTGGTTAATTCTCTGTGAACTAGTTGCTGATGGAGACCACATTAACGATTCGAGCTCTGAGGCTTTGTTATTATCAGTGTTTTGATGTAACAAAGCGTCAGTGGAGTTAACTTCATTATCAATGATATTTTTGTTTGTAATATGTTTCCCGAAAAGACGTGAAAATACTAAGCTAATGTTGCTTATTTATCAAACTGCAAATAGTATTACACACCTTCAAAAGCTCCCTCCTTGCTTCCCAGTTCTCTCTTTCTTGAGAAGATAAAGGATTCAAAGTTAAAGTTACTCGGTATCCTTGGTACAAGATAGCAATGTAAGAAGTTTGGGAGTTCTCAAGGACAGAGGCGAAAGCTGTAGATCTTTCGTGAAAACGTCAGGTGCGAAGAAATTGAAATAATGAAAAACTAATACATGACTTCTGTAATACTGTCAACGAAGAATTGATCGTTTTTGAATAAATGATGTCATTCTATTAACTCTGCTTTCAGGAGAGCTCTGTGTGAGGTGAAAAATACTTATCTGCTGAGTCTTAATGCTTACAAAAGGTTAAAGATCTACTTGGAAGATTAAAACTATCATCACTAAAAAAGGAGAGCGAATACTGATAATTTGGGAGTTTTGAGGCACAGAGAGACTGAATTCTTGGTCTGTACTGACCCTTATAACACAACTTAACTGAACATCCCTGTTCCATACGGTTTATGCTCCCTGTATGCTTTCAACTTTAACAAGAATGCCTAATTTTTAATTAATGTTGTTTATGCTTTATCTTCGGCCCTCCAATCTTTCCAGTTGCAATCTTATCTTTGAAAAGTGCTTTTTGTATCTATAAACACCAAAAAATATGTTCGGATGTATTTTAGGACTCAAGTTTTAGCACGAGTTTAAACTCGAGTTTAAGCCGTTCAACATAATAAGGAAGAAAATCAACGAAAAAACTGATATAATTTATCGATAACTTTTCAACACTGAGAACTTGTGTTCATTTATGGTTAATTTAACGCTTTTCAATTAAAAGTTAAGGAAACGTTTTGAATAAGGTCATAAATATTTGATGCTGCCTCTATCTTGTTGTCAAGGTAACAGCTGTCAGTAGAAGCTCCCTATGAGTGTTTCATTGTGAATTAATTTAACTTACAACAAAGGTAATGAAATATGGGCAAAACATAAAAATATGACATTTTGATCGAATGAAAATAATTTGAGCTCACATGGTATGATCGTAGAAATTGTGATTATAAACAGTTATTGAATAAAGCTGAGTATGATATGAAGAGTTATGCGGATCTTGTATGATGAAAACATCATAAATCGTAGTGCCTCTTATATTGAAAATATTCTAAATTGTTATAAATCCGAACTCTAATTAAACTTTCTTACCATACGAGTAGCGTAGAAGCCGTACATAGACAGGAAATGTTTCCTTTTTGATAATATTCAATATATAGTTGTTGGTCCTTTCTCAGTTCTTACTTAACTTTTATTTTACTTTCTTGTTTCATTTGTCATTGTATTGACTGTTTTGGTACTGAAATCTTCATGTCGAAGTTCTTAACAACCTTACTTTCTTTTTTCATTTGAAACATTTTCCTGTTTCTCTGTACAGTTTCAGAATGTGAACAGTCGTATTTTTTTTCTTGTAAATATATGCAACGATGAAATCCATAGGTTGCTTGGTTGGAGGTTCCTTCATGGGTGAGACATTTCTTACTATTAATGTGACTGTGCGATACAGTTAAGCCTTAATGTGTTGCTTCTGATGGACTGTGTGACTGCGAGATGCGGTTCGCCAGTCCAATCCACAAAAATGACCCTTGCTCGCCAACGAGTCCTCAGTAGCTCAGAGGTTAGAGCATCCTATCTAGGACACGTAGGGTCGAGGGTTCGAATCCCATCTAGGGCTCAGATTTTTTCTGTGTCCTCTTATGGTTGATTCTTTACATCTCCCTTTATTTCCTTTATGAAATCCATCAAACAATGGTTTTGTGTATTCTTACATTTATTCCGTTCATTTTTAGCCAGTATCAGTCTATTGAGCTATTTTGTTTTCGGATGGCCCAAAGTTCTTTCGCCCAAGCTTTCTTGAGTTCACTCAAGCCATGCCATAACAGCTAAGGTATAATGCTCCCAGCTTTCAAATATACGGTAGTCAGCGCCAGCTGTTTATATTATGAGCCGTGGCAGACAGAAACGGCAAAATATTTCGAATGAATGATAACTACATTTATTCATTTCGCCTTACAAAGAGAAAGAAATTTTAACTAGGGTTACAGAAAATCAGAACTTAACTTTATAATTTATAAATACATAAAGATAATGGGAAAGGAAAGTCGACCTTCGGAAAGCAGTTTATATGAGAAAGGCCTCTAACTAAAAGGGACATAAGTTCAGCAAGTTCAATGACAAATTAGAACTATAGCTACGTAACTATCGAAACAACGTGTACGCTTGGGGGTGAGCGTTATTTGATGTGATATATATCTCGCAGGGGCGGATCTAGGGGGAGGGTGCAGGGGGTACGCACCCCCCCCTGAGATGACCTGCGGTTTTCTAATACAACTGGCGGTTTTATTATTTCCCATCGTTTTTAACCTCTTGTAAGCGACCTCTTGACGTATGGTGTACGTGGTCTGTTTGTACGCTGTACGTACCACGCCACTCAGAGTATACAATATACAATAACTTTTCACTGATAACATGATGCAATTACACTGTACATGCATACGTAATGAATTACATGCAATACATTTTCTGCCAAGAAGTAGATGTGTCGAGACATCTTAACGGAAGAGACCGACCCTGTGTTTCGATTTTTGTAAGAGAGCACCCCCCGTAAGCGACTGGCAAATCCTCGCATTTTGGGTGGTCGCTAACGCAAGGATTTGACTGTATGAAAGACTTGGAAGCGTCTATATAACCAATTCAGTATATAGGCCTTTTTGGCATCGTGTTTCACAGGATTCGAGTCCACGGTGTTTATGTTTTGCTATTGCTAAACATCCCACTTTTCTACACGCTATCTATGTTCTGATACAAAGACTACGTTTGGTCATTCAGTCAGAATGCGGGACTTGCATCAAAATATTAATTTCACAAACAATCACGACTGATTGCAAGTGTGAAGCCTTTTACATTTGTTAGCTTGCCTTAAAGTGTTTTTATCACCGTGCAATCCTTATCGTTCCATTCAGTTTTTAATGTTGTATTGAGACGAGACGTTTTTAAAAAGCTCTCTTGCATTAATTGAGTCCCAGTCGTTTCGAATGTTTCCGTAAACATATAATCACCTAGTAGGTTATTTTCCTTTCTCTCGCTCTTTTTTGAAGCTTTCCTCCATCTTATCGAAATGCTCTTGTAATCGTCGAAGAAGTGATTTAGCGATCGCCAGGTCGTCGCATGAAATGGCATCTCCATCTTTTTCCACTTCTGAAATCTCGCGTTTCGTCAACTCTGTAGGAAAGGCATGTACATCAACTTTTAATTACTTAAATGAAATATGTTACTATAATTTGTAAACTCAGGTTTTAATCACAAGGCGGGCGGGGGCGGAGGGGCGTGGGGGGTAGAGGGGAGTAAAAGTTACTAGACAACGTTTAATAGGGGAATACTTCGCCCTGCGGACCAAACCCTTACTTTTTTTCATCATTTTCTATTGCAAGAAAGAGTAAATGAACATACTATGGTTAGGGACGGTAAAACTGACACTAACCAATATTGACGCGGGCCACCTTTTGTCGAAGTCTCATTGTCATGCGGCTAAAGATATCCCATACGGCTCCAAAAACAATTAATCCTGCCAACACTCCAAGAGAACTAAATAGGTATCCTTTAACTGAAGACTCATCAAAGAGGTCAAAGAGTTTCATGGGCATCTGTTGGGTTAACTAATGGACAACACAAAGAAATTAAAATATTCATTAATCACCATTCTAGCAGTGGGAGCTGAATGTTATTTTAAAATGCGTGCTAGATTTTACTACCAAAATCGAAAAATGAACAATAGAATTTTTTTATCATCCTATACAACTGCATTGACTTCGTTCGGATATGTCGAGTCGTGAAACTAATTTTTTATGTATGTTTTTGTCTTTTGTACCTTGGAGTGCCCAAAATGCCGTCTCTCAGACCTGATAAACACTTCTCTCATCATTACTATATTTAAGTTTTATACGCTTTCACGACTCTGCCGCTGTTAATCAATATGGTCGCATCGAAGACATTAGCAAGAAGTTAGAAAGTACCATGCACGGCACAAGCTTACTAGACAAAATCTTCTCCGGCCTCTTGATCTTCGTCAAAATATATGAGGGTGAGATAAACCAAAAGATTAAGAAACTTTAATTCCCACATTATTGTTTCTCTATTTCCTAAGAATTTTGCGGCCTGAATAGTTCATAAAGCCTTGGTAAGTGCAGCGAGATCAGTGGGTATCAAGGATTTTTTTGCTGTCACTTGACGCCAGCAAATGTCAATCAAAGGACACTTTCCAAAAGTCAGAACTGGCCGACCAGACTGGTCATTTTTTTTTTTTTGCGGTGCATGCAATTTTGGAATGAACTAATTTGGCTGGATAGTTTTGATTGATATTAAAGTTCTTCTGTCGAGTGGCTTGGTCTGGTCAACCGGTATTGACAAATGTTAAGCGCCCTAAGTTTACAGACACTCTTTTCTAACAAATTACTTGTAACAATGACGTCACGAAGAATCAGCTTGCCTTAAAAGTAGAAGTTACTGTCTGAACATGTCTCAAAATGCTGGGAAGATGATTTTCCAGGCAATTTGCGAGGTCTTTCTTTTCTTCAGAAATTAATATTCCAACGTATCTTCGGAGTTCGAACTTCTTAACGGTGACAAGTGATTCCAGTTTTTCACGTGATTGATAAAAAGAAGCTGTGTAACTGTCCAACAATATTCCCTCGACCTTTTTTGCTTGTAATGCTTCAATGATGTCTTCAATTTTGTAGTATACTAAAACAAATATACTGAGAACTGAAGATGAACATAATCGATGCCTTTCTAGATGTAAATGACATTTTGGACCAGGTGCCCGTTTCTCGGAAGGCTCGCGGGTAACTTTTCGGGCCCGAAGGCAAATTTGAAAATCAACACCTGTTGAATAGTAGCACAGTTTCTAGCTCAAAACTGGTCAATTTTGATTCGTTAATTGATAGTTTCATTGTTTCATTTTCAAAATTACTAAAACTTTGATCTTGAATACAAACATGGCAAACATAAAACAGCCTTTCGGGCCCGAAACGTTACCGGGAATTTCGAGAAACAGGCCCCAGGTCTTCTCTGTATTGATTGTACAATACCAATATTTATTATACATTGTACTAACTATCTGTCTTCTCATAGGCAAAGAACCCACAGCTTATTTTGGAAATTAGCGTAACCCACAGATTAGATAGTTAGCTGCTAGCAGATAACTGACTAATCTGTAGGTTGCGCGCGCAATGCATGATTTCCATTAACAATATCAATTTAGGTTCCTTGCGACGGTGTGTTTGTCGTTATTTTCTTCAAAACAATGTAATGATAACAAAACAATTATTAGATTCGGTTTTTGTGATATCCTAAATAATCCAGGTGTGGATAAGTGTTATCAGCCCCGGCCTTCGGCTCGGCTGATAACACTTACCTCTACCTTAATTATTCCGGATATCACAAAAACCTCATCCAATAATTGTTTAATATATGTTGGTTCAAAACTTTAATAACAAGTCTTAAAAATTAAAGGGTAGGTAAATTGTCACTTTGATAAAGATTATAGTCAATTTAAAACCCACATAGCGTCAACAAAGAACAATAAAGACGGCTAGCGTTATTAAATTCAAACGCCATGGATTAAAGTCAATTACCAACGGTTCGAAAGGAAACTGCTTTAATCAATATGTTGCAGGCATAAGTATTTTAAAACTTTACCTTCAGGGTGAGCATCTAGGTAACGGGCATGTTGGAATTCTGTTCCATTTCCTAAAACTGCAACCTACAAAATAAAAGAGTTTTTGAGAAGCCACTGTCTTACAGAGCATAATTTTCTTCCATCCTGCATGTCTTTAAATGGTCATTAAGAATGTCATCCTAATTCCTGATATTCCTTGCTATAGACTCTATAATATCTAATATCTCATCATCATCATCATCATCATCATCATCATTACGATTAACATAATTACCATCATTTTGAATTTTTATAGCCCAAACGTCACATAATTATCACCGTCAAAAATAAATGATGATTCTATAATTGTGGTCCTTCTCAATTTTCATTTTTAACTTATCATAATCATCATATTGACCCAAATAGAATAATCGACAACAAACTTTCGCAAACCTTTTTACCAGCGAGACTACCGAGTCCCATTTCCAGGTTTAAAACTGTCAAAGCTGATGTGATGTGAGCCATAAAGATCGCCATAATGACGAGACCCAGCTGAATCCAAATGATGGAGAAAATGCGGCCAACTACTGACTTCGGAGTTTTGTCGCCATACCTGTGAAGATATAGAGTATTGATGGAATTTTCCCTCAAGACACGAGTTCTCATTGGTTACTTCGAGGTCACATGACATATATTTATTATTCATTTAAAATATTTCGCCGTTTCTGATTGGCTCAAATCCCTCTTCATATCTAGCCAGGCGTTTATTCAATACCCATCCTTACTTTCCGCATTCCACTCATTTTTTTCAATAACTTCGAGCGATTTCTCGCGCACTATGTTCGATGAGAGTACAGACTAGTGGCTGATCCAGGGGAAGGGCCCGGAAACCCGGTCCCCCCTTCATTTTTGGACCAAACTGAGACTCGAAGGGCGAAAAATGTTTTTGAGGAGACCGGCCCTCCCCTTTATCTATGGGTCAGGATGACCGTCCCGCCCCCCGCCCCCATCTCAAGGTCTGGATCCGGTACTACAGATCATGACAATGATGTGATGGCGGCGCAATTTGTTTTTCTCCTTCTTGCAAGCGTTATCTAAACGCTGATGGATGTCAAAATTATCATTCGGGAGTGAAATTGTAAAGAACAAATCGACAGCAATTTTCCATGTAACTTTAAAGTGAAACCACTCGCCTGCGGCTCGTGGTTCCACTTGAGTTTTGAACATTTTGAACATTTCTATGGTGGATGAGAGTACAGACCTTGGTAATCCGATTTTCCATTTGTTAATCGAAAAAGAAAACGCGCAAGTGATGCAAACATGATAGCATCCCTTGCAAAGAATGCACTGCATGTATCATGAATGACATCATCGTATTCGAAAACCGCTGTTTTTGTCCTTCCACATTAAACGACAACCCCGCGTTTTCAATCTGCACTCCGAGGACCGTTTTCTTGAATCCTCTTTTATGGTCCCCGAAATCAAAGAGCCGTTTACATGCTGACGGACCTAACACATATAGGACTAGCTTCCTAATTTGGGGAGTAATAGTATACAAGTATTTACCAGTCAACATACACTATATATGCTGTGGAAAACGGATAAATGGTCCATGTAAGGGGAAATTAAAACTTACCCGACTGTTGTCATAGAAATGAAAGACCACCAAAATCCATCCCATGATCCCCTTATGAATGAGCGAGGAAATTCTTCACAATTCCAGTAAGTGTCCTGCAGCCATAAGACGGAAATCATGTTAACTATTTGCTAGTCCCTAGACCTCATTATTCCGCGCAGCCAATCATCGAAGTGAATGACCTAGAAAGCCTGGGAAAACGTCGTACAGAGACTGGGCAAGTAAACTATAACAGGGGCACCCAACGAGAAGATAGTTCAAAACCACTTAATCATAGCATTGTTGAACGTATTTTAGTATCTAACGGTAGATTTAGGCATATTTTTATCCCCTAGAAATTTTTCATCTGTTCGGATTTCCTAGCTGAAAGTCTAGTGATCCGAAAATTATAGGGATCAAAACTTACCTTTTCGAAAATTCTAGGTGACCTTTTAAGGGTAAAAATCCGTTAAAAATGGGCAATTATACCATTTTTTAGATGTTCGAAAATCCTAGGAGAGGTAGGAAAGCAAGAAATTTTACAACAAATGTTCTGAAAATTCTAGATCGCAAATCGTCTTCCGAACAGATATTTTCCGAAAATTGTCGTTGGGTGCCCCTGCTATAAGCTCCTATAGCATCTAAAGATCAATTCGACTTTCTCATGCGTTTGAAATAAATATAACATATAGGCGACGTCTATCCAGATCACTTATAATTGCATCATTTTTGTTGTAGGAAAGTAAAAACAATAATAATAATAATAATAAAAAAAGGAATTGCAAAAAAGCTAAATAGGAATACATTAAAAACGCGCATTACTACATTCAGGGATCTGATCTGACGAGAGGATGAAGTAGAAAATGTTTTTAGAATGACCAATGTACCATATCTCAACTCCGGCAATTGATGTCAAATTGAAAAATCGTACCGTACTGTAAAGTGTTTTCAAGGTTATCAAAATGCTTTTTTGCTTATGACAAGGTGTACTTGATCAAATATTGTAACTTCAGAAAATAACAAAAAAAGTGTTTTTTTCCTTCTTTTTCACACCGTTTGGTTCGCACTGACTACCATGAAACTCTCATTTTCATTTGTAGACAACCATTTGTGTTAACCGGAATGTTTTGCTGTAATTTTAATTCCAACCCAGCCGAAGGGTAATGAGCAATGTGTTTCGTAAATATGGAATTATTTTCGCCACTTAATGGGCAGCTGTCTTAACCTACTACGAGTATTTGGTAATTTAAGACAGTACTGATTGGATTCTGAATTCAACGCTGTGGATTTTGGACTCCTGGAACTGGATTCCAGATTGCTTGTCAGTGACACTTGGATTCCATAGTTCATTCCTCATATCTCGTATTAGGGAATCGTGGTATATGCCCTGGGGGGGACTTCCATGTTAAAGTGACGGTGATGCTAGTCGTCTCGCTTTGGCGAGTGTAAATGGCAGATTTTGGTCGCAATTAGGGTGTTTGGAATGGAAAGTTGCTATATTTGTCCATCGCTTAGTACCGTGCATAAAGAAATTTACAAAAAATGCCCTGACACTGACCACACAGAAATCTCCCTTATGGGTCAGTTTAAGCTTGAGCCACACCCACATTGGTCTCCCTTAGGAGTTTAATCTGAATTTTCCGACGAGCATCCCAGTCAATTTTATGTGGGAGTTCCTCCGGGGGTATATGATGAAGAAACCTACCAGTGCCCACATAACAATGCCAGCTATGGCTGTGAGAACTAGAGTAACGGCGAACAGGGGCCATGAGCTCGTGACAGCGTCCAACACAACACTGAGTGCATTAATTTGTTCTTCATTCGTGATATATTCGGTTCCAGGGTAATGATCCAGTTCCAGAAAAGGAAATTTATTGTATGTGCGATTATTTGTGAGCTCAAATATTGGAGCAGCGATGTGGACTTGATTGTTCATTAGTGATTCAACCATTTTTAGCTCACTTCCAAATTCGGAAGAATTTATTTGGTAACTGATTCCTCTAGCCTTACCACAATCGACTAGGTACTGCCATATTGCTTCTTTAATAAATCCGATAAATTTGTCCTCTGTAGTTTGTGATGTAAATGCGTACGGAGGCTTTTCTGTCCATGCTATTTTTAATGACTTCGAGGTATAGTTTCTTTCATCATCTTCACCGATGGCTGGACAAACGAACGTGAAACTAAGCGCTAAAACCATCGCTGTAAACATTTTCAGCTTCTCTTCCGTCGTTTGGAGTTAAGCAATTACCGATGCTTGTGTCTTTGTATTCAGTCAACACTATGAAATTGAAAATTTGCCTGCGGTGCTGAAAATATAATTTAAAGAAAAAATGATCAAGCAATTTATCATAGTATTCGAACCACTAAGTTAACAGTAGTAAAGTAAAACTTGATTTTAGAAATGCATGAACACCAAAGCCCACATGATAACGTGTCTAGCATGTATAGGTACAACAAAATATCGGTTGCGGAAATGCTCAATATGGCCGGCCGTATACTTGACAGGCCGTATATATACTGATCGCCGGCTTGTTGCCAATTAGATAATTCTAGGTAATTAACTTGACTGCTGAGTAGATTTGTCTCAGCTGTTTTAGGATATCGATTAAAATTAGTGCTTTTGGCTCAATCGTCCCTGTTTCTTTTCCTTTTTTTTCTACTTTTGACTCATTTGAATTCCCTCTGCCGTTTGAAATTTTCCTCTTGTCATCAAAATGTAAATTAATGACTTTCGAAATCACAAAAAAGGGGGTACGAGGTACGAATTTGTAGCTGCTACATCGTATCGATTGTCTTGCTGTATGATATGCATTTCTTATTACCTAAGAGCTCTCATTGAACGAATTTCAATAGGTTTTGAGTTTAAAACGTGGATAAACTCATTCTTTCATTTGTTAATGAGAACTCTTAAATTATATACGTATGATACTATAAAAAAAAATTAAAAAAATGTCACACGGCTTGTACCCAACAAAATACTTGACGTTCTCCTTTAAGTATAAATGAATTAAGCATGATTAAGTTAGTGCAGAAAAAAAAAGAAGATATATGGACTTGTAGTAAGAAATTTTTTACCTATAAGCTTTGCTGTTTTCCTTGATTGTTCAATAAACGTTTCTCAAATGAGCAAATATAGCCAGCTGCAATGTCAGAGTCAGAAAAACAATTTTAATTTAAATTTCAGTTTTTTTTAAATTTGAAATAACTAAGGGATGCGACGCACTTGGGGACTTAAACGAGTATTTTTTCAATTAACAAATTAAAAACAAAACGTAGTTTCATATATCATTAACAACACTTAGTAAGTTGAAAACATGAAGTCGTGCATGTGTGTACTTTTTTTGTGTTAACCAAATCATGTCATCATAAAAATACGGAAGAACCATTGGGTTTTTCTGAACCTGGAAGGTTTTTGAAACCACTTCACAGGGTTAAGTCAGATTACCGTTATCAGTAAATCAATCGCTTCGAATTTGTACAATTTTCATAAGTGCGCTCGCAATAATGCCATTTGCAATACTGTGGTCATTTTCTAAAAGGATGGAATATGCCTAGTAAAATCATTATTAATTCCACCAGGAGAAGCTGAACATGCAAAGCTAAGATCTCTGAACTTACAGATTTTCAAAAGCGTACTATGAAATTTTCAAAACCAAAAACAGTTACATTTAGCAAATGTACTAAAGATTGAATGCCTTCCCGTTACAGACCTACCATCATCATTTTTTTTTAATTCAGTCGATTTTAGTCCCAGTTGCTTGTTAGAGAAAATCACTAATTACGTTAAGGGTTCAGTATTCTACCACTCATCAGCAGTAGCAAACCTCATATTTCAACCTGGTAAGGCGGCTTTGAAAAACGTCAGTTGTAACAGGTTAACTTGCTTAATGCGGCCAAATCGAACACTGAAATATACTGAATTAGAACACAGGATCATGCATGTTATAAAACCAAGCCGAGTAATCTTTTTTAAAACACGGACAGGAAAAACTCGTGCCTGAAACAAAGAATTCTAAACTCTGCACTCGCAATACCAGGCATCCGTGAGAGTGCAAACAAGGTTTTCGCCACAAAAAAAACTGACAAAATGTTCTTTTAAAAATCTAATAATCAGATTATTTCCAACACTGTGGTGGGCATAGATTATTTTCATGTTTGAACTGTAATTGCTACAAACAAATACAATACCGTTGAGTTATTGCTGGGACCGAACTTAACTTTGTGGACGAAGGAGGTACCCTTATCTTGATTATGGGATAATGCCTCGTGATCCCTTCACTCTTTTTCCTCTTGTTTTTAATTTTAAGCTGTAAGTTGCGATTATATATTTTCTGATGGTATGTTTACTCACTCAAAATGCAGAATAGAGGACAATACATTATATTTCAGCCGTGAGACAGCTGGACTAAAATTTATGAAAACTTCTCGAATATTTATATTATTTTAGTATATACTAAAACAGTGGATAGTGCTTTTCGCACGCTGTGATTGGCTAATCTCCCTCCGGATATCCAGAACTTTTAAAATTCACTGATTCACCTCCAGTTCCTCCAAACAAGCGACGCCAAACTCGCGTATTACGCGTAAGTTACCGGAGCAAAATGGCTTCGCGCGGTTTGCTGCCGTAACACTGCGTAACATTACAAACAAAGAAATTTCACAAATAATCATCAAGCTGTTCCCGAAATACACGAAGAAGGTGACGAAATTCGGTTTGGAAGTTTTAACAGGTAAAGCTTTGTCTGTTTGACTTGAATTTATCGATGAAACCGGTAACAACGTTTTTTGTCTACAAATGCAAACTAAGTTATGCGTTGCTTTATTTAGCTGACATGTTCACAAATACGCTTAAAACTAGATTTAATTGTAATTTTTAGAGAATGGTTTTAAATATAAAAAAGAATTCACAATTTTTTTTGAAGAAATTTCCCCACAAGAGCTAAACAAATGCCGCCAAAAGTTTTATTTGTCGAAGAGTAAACGCGATGGCCGCCGGTTCGGTCATTGCGCGCCAAAATTGTAATCGTTGGCAACAGCAAATGAGTTAAAAATTATCATTTTTGTGCTCAATTATCTCACTGTTTTAGTATATACTAAAACAATTATTCACCTCATTGTCGGTGGCTAGTGGTGGTAAATATTCACCACTAGCAATCTCTACTTCGGTGAATAATTGCTATCGAGCCCAATGAAAGTCACCTTACTGGAAACGCGTCCACTCTGGTGTGAAATCGAAACCTTGACCCCCTAAGTAGTTTATTTATGCAAAAGTCCCCCGGGGGGAGAGGGTAGTACTGGGAATTTTTCGTGGGGATGTGCCGCCCGGTTCTTCAAATACTGACCCTATTTCAGACCAAAATATGTAATTTTCCACACCCGTTTTCAGACCTGGCCTTCTGGAAGAAATTATATTATCATTACTTAGATTAGAGCGCAAACAAAAAATTCTTGGAATCCACTTCGAATTCACATATTTCTTCAGTTTTCTTTCTTAAGCCCCGAGCAAACGGACGCAACATTGTTGGCCAACAACTCCCACCATTGTTGGAGTTTACATGTTGCGTCCGTTTGCACACCCTGTTGCATGTTGTTGGATGTTGTTGGGTGTTGTTGCGCAAAGTTTAATTTGCAAACTTTTCAGCCAACAACTCCCAACATTTATTTTGTTCTTTGATCGCCAAAGCGTAGCGCGACAATGTTGGATCCGTTTGCACGGTTCTTCCAACATTGTTGGGGCCACGCACGCTCATTACGCGTGGATTACAAAGACTTATGGGTTGTATTCTTCCCACGATGCACTGCAGGTCCCAACATTGTTGGGAGTTGTTGCATCCGTTTGCACACCACTGGCAACACGCACGCAACAATTCCGAACATTGTTGCGCCTGTTTGCACGCAGCCCTACTCATTTGGAATTGAAACGACAAATACGTTCGTACACTTCCGCAGTTCCCTTGAAAACCATATCCGATTCCAGACCAAAATGGGCAAAGTGTATACTCGTTTTCAGACCAAGACAGACAAAAGCCCTACCCAATGGGGTGGCACATACTTGTATATGGCTTATCTACTTGAGTACTCCTCCGGGGCAAAAGCAGTTGACCTCACTCACTCACTCACCCCGATCCAAGCCTATGACAATTTTCTTTATTCTTTTTTATCCAGTCATCAAAGTGTAGACAAAGTGTAGACAACAAGAATTAAACTGAATTTGGTTTTTATGGGCTTCATTTCTGAAATCAAATGTCGACCCTTAATCAAAGACACTACTGGAGGGCGCCATTTTTAATTGCAGATGTCGTAAAACCGTTTTACAAAAAAAATCACCTGTAAAATAATTTGACCACTAATTCGAGACGTACTTAACTGTGAGGACGGGGAATTAGAACGCGATAGTTAATTAAAGTGGAATGGTTGGGAAACCCTGTTGTTGTACATATGTTTTTGTTCTGCAATCAGCTTTATTGCCCGGGGGGTACTACGCATATGAAAGTGGTGGGAGTGCTTAGGGGTGTAAATTTCGGATTTTGGTCTCATTTAGGGTGTTCTGGGCAAAACGCCATAATCATTTAGCCGTGAAGGTCTCGTTCAGGGTTGCACGCGAAAAAATATAAATATGTATATTTGATATGTATATTTTTAATTCGTTTTATTTACTCCATTGATATAATCCAAGTTTTCTTATTTGTCTGTGTTTTAACATGGTCTCTTTTAGAGATCAAAAAAAAGCTTGGGCCACGCCCAGATCGATCTCCTTTAGGGGGTTTAATTCAAAATTTCAGACGAGCATCCCCACCCTTTCATATGCGGAGTTCTCCCCGGGCTTCATTGGACCTGGACCGTGCACAACGTTCATTAGAATTCCTATCATTTTGAACTTACTGACCAATAGAAACATTGCATTAATTTATTCAGTTACAATTTGTGAAGAAAAAACAAAGGATTGTGCACGGTCAGGGAGCTTCCAATATTACCTACAGCACCGTTGTTTTCAACTTTGATGTTTGCCGGCTTTCCTAACCAACAAAAAGCCAAACTACTCGTGCTCCTTTGGCTTCCCAACTTTTTGAAATAAACGTCGCCTTACCTTAGACTGCTTTAGGCGCGGCAGCTCACCCTTTCGTGAAAGGTCGCTGCCATTTTTAAGGTGGCTGACAATTGAGGTTACAAGTGAGTATAGCCCTGCATTTTAACAGGGTTAAAAACAACAAGTGAAATATGCCGGCATGCATAAAAAATCAGAAAATGAGGGACGAGCCCAGTTGTAATATACCAGAGGTGTTTATTTTGTGGGTCAATTATTGTCCCTTGTTCTTTTGTGTAACTCTTCGAAAAAATGTACAAATTTTTACATCTTATTATCACTTACTTTCGCGTGACTTTTAATTTCACGAATTTGGAGTAGATGGGCTCCTGTGTAGAAATATTTCGTTGGCCTCAAATTTCGCGATTTTGACGGGTCAGCGTTTTTCAAAGTAATAAATTTCGCGAATCAAGTACACTAGCGCTCGTTTTTTAAACTTCCATTTCTGCATTTTAAATAACTATAACGGAATAGAAACGAACCAAGCAACTGGCTGAAATGTTCAACAATGTCAGCAACATAACATCTTTTAAAAGTACACTGGAAAAACCAACCGAGGCACTATTCAACTCGATGGCGCTGCCAGTTGGTTTTTAGATAAGGATTGCCTCAATGTTTTCAAATGGATCTTCAGGCGATAAGATTGTCTTCCCTTGAACAAGTTCGGATATTCCCGCTTTGATTCATCCTTTTGCAATATTCCGCTTTCCCACACTGCCTGTCAAGTTGTTGTTAAGGCTCACCAGCCATGTAAGGGCTTCAGCACGGATATCCTCAAATCGACCTCAATCTCATCAGTGCTGTTTCCCGACTCCATTTGTTTCTCAACTTCGGCCGAATACCAAGTTGTAAACATATAGGGGAGGTATTGTCGGCGTCGATATTGTGGAAAAAACCAACGAAGATCGCCACTTATTAGCTACTTATTTGTGCAAGGGGGGCTGGAAATTCCAGTGAAATCGATTGCGGAAATCGACGCTTCTGAAAATAATGACGGGATCATGAAGAAGCTCAAGCAGCTGATTACAGAGAACTATAGGGAGCCAGCAAGCATGACGATGGCAAATTTGAAGACTGTACTGAGGAAGTGTTACAGGACTTAGCCGGAGTCAGATGATGACGAATAAGGACATGCGTTGAACTGAATCTCGTATGTATACTCCTAGCAGACGGAAAAGTTGAATAGAGGTTTTTGTATAGGTCACCATAAAATTTCGCGGCACCTTTTTTTCGTGGGACTTTACTTTCGCGAAATTTGTTTTGAAAATCGCGAAAATCAAGTGTCGCAAAAATTAGTTGTTTATAGGGAAATAAAGGTTTTTCTATCTTAAAATTTAGATTTTGGCGCCTCAGGGGTTAAGAAACAATACAGTTTAGGTTAAAATGCAGCAAGGAGTGTGTTTCGTAAGCTTTTGCAAGTACAAGCAAGTGTAAACAACAGTGAGGGCTTGCATAGTTTTAATTACTTTTTTTATACAGACTTTCATCTCCCAACCTGGTTGGTGATTAAATAATTAAGTTCAGGTGTTTTAAAACTGTAAAAAGGTTTTGTTTCTCAAACGTGACGTGGGGGCCTTAATTTAACAAAATGAAAAATCTTTAAATATTATATTTATAATGGAAGCGTGGCAACTGTACATGTGTTTCTTAGTCAACGAAAACTTTTTGTAACAAGAAATCATGCTTGAAATGTGTATTGAATTATGCATATGTTGAGGTTCAATTTTATCCTTGCTTTAAATTTTCTTTTCTTTTATTTTTGGTTATGGTAATGTATGATAATGATTTTGAAGTAAAAGAAAAGAAAATTTAAGCCAAGAATAAAATTGAACCACAAAATATATATTAAAATTTAGAAAAAAAATTAAAGAAGAGAAGATGCGAAGCTGATTTTCTATATAGTTTCACTGCGCACTGGGCGATCCTCAGCCACGCAATGTCAAATTAAATATTAAGGGCGGTTAGAGGGGTGCTTCTCATGATTGAATGCGTGAAATATAAATTGGCCAATGACACTTAAGACGAGTTCGACAACATGATATTTTATAATCATAGATATTGCGTACGATTCAATTTTTTTATTTTTTATTTTTTTGCATGTTAATCTTTTTGTTACTGTCAAGCACTTTTGAACGTTAATTGCTATTATGTGATCCCTAAAAAAGCTTTGCAGAAGAGAATGGTTGACCAGTCCCTCCAGTTTCTTACATTAAATATACTGCCTGTAATATGTTATCTTCGCTAAACTTATATCCCATCTTATGAACTCAATAGTGGAGACAACTTACAGTTATAGCTAGTTATATCTGATGGCTTTACAAACAATCACTAGCTTATACAGCGTTCGTGGTTTTTCTATGAAAGCATTGAAACCTTGGTTTCCAGTCTGCTCAAGTGTTCATCCATTTGCCTAAAAAGGATCCTTGCTGCCTCCACATCGCGACGAATAGTTTCTTTTCCCACTAAACAGAATGAAAAACATGCATGATATATTTTATTACTAGCAAGGAAAATATTACTTAGCTCTGCGTATTGTAGTAACTGTATACGAATTATTCCTTCCTTTTCACAATACTTAGACGCATTAAGCCAGGCGAATCACCCAAAATTTGCCCCTTTATTTGTTTAAAGAACAAATGACTGTTGCTTCGTAACTGACTGAACTGTTCCATAAACCCTCAGTGTGGAAAAAATATATATGTGGGGTAAAACACTACATCAAGGGGAAAAATAGCATAGAACAATAGATATGATGTGCTAGAACTCAAGCACGGAATTTAAGTTGTACGTTGACTTTGCATGCTGAAAAGGAGGCCGGTCACCAAAAGGGTTCTTCAATCCATGTTCAATCCCGTCATTCCTACTCAAATTTTCTCTCAATCCCGTAAATCCTGGTGGTTATTTTTGGATGGGGGTGGATAGGCCAACGGATCGGCGGATTTTGCAAAAAAAACTTTTCCCGGATTTCGGAGTTCCGGATCCTGCAATTGCAGCGGATTGCAGATTCATCCATTTTCTGGGCCCAGATTTTGGACTTTGCGTGTAATAAAAATATTTTTGCCTGCATTTTGGATTTATGGCGAAATTTTAACGGCGGATTTGATTAACAAATCATAAAGGATCGGCGGATTTGCATACCGCAATTCGTGCATACTCGATGGGTAAAAACTGCTTTTTGAAGAATAACATTCTGTTAGCCTAATAATTCCTTTGTATCTTGATTTTTCCAAGAAACAGGCAAATGCATTCCAAAAAGGGAATTTTATATATCGATCGAGGTAAGCATGTACATTCTAAGTGTATGAAAACATACTTTGAATGGATTATGAATCGGTTGTTGGATTCGGCTTTTGACTTATAACAGACATAAAACCCTTCTAGATCTGGTAATTCTTAATGATGTACTCATCCTCATCCAACAGTCTCTAAAAATCCTCAAAGACGTACGTGTTGCAAGCCGCCCTTTTCCTTCGAGTTCATTTCTCAGAGACTCAATTTGGCGAAATAATATGGATATAAACTTCAGCTATTTACAAGTATCTTATTTTCAAAGTTACCTTTTACTGTATACTTCTCCATTTTAGTTTTTCTTCTAAAATAAAATTCCCATATTGTTCCCATAAGAAGCAAAGCGCTCAGCACTCCAAGAGATATATACAAAAGCTGTATCGCAAAAGTAGATGTATTGTCGAAGAGGTTAACTTGTTTGGAAGTCTCTTGTTTCTTTAGCTAATAAATGGAAAATAGAGACATTACTAATTATGTTGATAACAGAAAATGAAAAAAAAAAAAAAAATGAAATAAGAAGAAAGTAATGTATATGATGATTGTTAACCGTCAAGTTACCCGTCCTGATGATAACCAGACAGCTACTTCTTATTCAAATTGACCAGTTTAAGTTCCAGATAATCACTTTCGAATAAAAATTTGTTTGCTCGATATATAACTTGTAAAATATAATGTTTTTATTATCAGGGATTTTTCTCTCTTTATAATTGATCCGACTAGACCTGAGACGGTCTTCTAGTTTCGTATATATTAGTCAGTTTTTTAGTTTTGGTTTTAGTTTTTTCGTCTTATCTTAGTTTGTCAATTGATAATGACGTCATGGCGACATCGAAACGTTGTTCTAAACTTTTTTCGCTTATTTTTATTCTTAATTGTTTAATAAAATTTAACTTGATTCGTAAATTAGTCGGCATTATCGGAATATATTATCCCAAATGGTTTCAAGGTCTTTGAAACGCAACTCGTCCTCCAAGCGTCGCTTGAGTCTAAGTATTAAATCTTAAGTTATTTTCCTTCCACTAAATCCTGAGGATTGTAGCCTGAATTCATGCTTAGGAGGGTCTTGTTTCTAAATGTATAACACCTTTGTTCTATTTAAGTTCGCTACTTACTACTAACTATAAGGAATAATGAATTATATTGAGTACCTGAAATGCTGCTGTAATCGTTTGCAGCTGTCTCCAAATGTTTGAACGGTGTATCGATAAGCAGCCCGCAATGGATTCTCTGTCCTTAGAAAAGAGCACTCCTACCTCCCTGGGAAGATCAAAGTTCTTTACAATGATAAGTGATTTAAGTTTGTCTCTTTTCTGATAATAGGCGGCTGTGTAGTGGTCCAACATCATTCCATCGACCTCTTTAGCATCCAGTGCTTGTCGGATGTCCTCTATTCTTCGGTATGCTAGAAATTCAAAAATTGTTTATTCATGTTAAGTTAAAATTAAGAAGTACTTATTTGTAAGCGCAAGGTAAAATTATTCACGGTAGTTTTCCGCCATGAAGAGAGTCACAGAAACATAAAGTATTTTTATAACTTGAAAAAGTACTGTAACAGTCAGGCTTATTACTTTTCAAGTTGTGTCATGGTGTCGCGGACAAATTGCTTAAAACATTTATTCACTCAGCTGAAATATAGTCTATGTTTAAAGCTGCTGATGCTGTTCGCACAAAACCCAAAAGTACTCTCACGGTCGCTCATAATTTCAACAAAGATATTACAGATTTTTCACGATGGCGCCCCAACTGCACGTCTGTACTTCCGTATGTTCCTCGAGTACCGATGAACATCCACTTCAGTCTACAAAGAACTACTGCTGATAATAGTGCCGCTAAATGCACATTTATACATAATTATATGTCTGTTTGATTTCGTTAAAGCGTGGCCTCTAGGTTTTCGTCTGGCGCCGGTCGCAGCCCGACTCCAGGCCAGTGCTGTGTCCAAAAAAGCAGGGGCCTTGACGTCTTGGCCGGTACAGCTGGATAGCCCAGGGACTGCCCTAACAGTGGGTGGGTGGACCAGGCCTGGGGGCCTGGGGTAGGGAGGGGGCTGTTTTGACACAGCTCTTTGTTCTTAGTTTGCCCAGGCCAGCTGAGCCAGGCCTCTGCTGAGAATGATTATCATGATAATTGCAGAGCTCAGTGGGAGGCGCAGAAAGTCACCCATTGCCCTTGGTGGGAGAGTCAAGGTCTTGGTACCAAGGACATACTTAGCATAGGACCTGTATACACTCACTGAAGCCATGTTTACATAAATTCAGTCAGATATTAATATATATTCATATTCACCGAATCTGACCAAGTACCTTTTGGTTCAGCCTGTTCGTTCAGCGCATGCTCATACTCTGTTCCATTGCCCAACACTGCAATCTAATGCAAACACCAAACTTTTTACTATTACTTATTATATGAGGTTTTTAAATATAATAACATGAAACCTAACCGGTTTTCAAGAAGAAGCAACTTCCAAATGACAAAATTACAGCTTCACGACGATCACTGTTTCCAATTTTTAACATTATAGATAAGCTTTGATGAACTTATAATTTAAAGGCCTGACTGTTTTCACCAAAACCCCAGTTGTAAGCTACTGACTTTGGTCTATCTCCATCCGCAGTTTCTGTCTGATTTCGTGCCTTCTTTTGGATTGGCTGCCATACATCGCGCAGAAAGAGTGGACTTCGTTAGCTATTCATGACCGCCGAAGCTGCAAATTCGAATGCATGATGGCTTTCAATAAGCTCTGAATAAGAGAAAAGAAAGGGCCTCTTTTCGCCCACCAGCTTTGATAAAACTTATTCGCGCGACTTCGTTAGCTCCAAAATGACAAATCCAATGACGGAATATTGAAAATGAATGATATATCTACGATTTGAGTACAAAAGATAAGCTTTTTACATGACAAAAGGACTATAGAGCGTTTTAACTCACGTGACCAGCATCTATGCAAATTTATTGAAACAAAAGGAAGCGTTTACATAAGAAAAGAGATCAACTCTCTCAAGACCGTTTTGAAACACCAACATGGCCGCCGTTTTATTGTTTTGGAACACCAATATGGCCGCCGTGACGTCATGTAAAAACGCTGTATAATCCTTCTGCACACGAAAATTGCTAAAAAGAGGCCATTTTTTGTATGGAAGCTGACTTAAAGCGTGATTTTCTGGAAACCAGTGACGAAATCGTCAAATCCACCGATAGAATATGTTAGATCTGATCATTCCTTACGCAGAATACGTTTAAACTTTTAAAAGTTATGGACAAGAACCACATGATCCATGCGAGTTTGAAAAAATCTGGTAGAAACGTCACGCCTTCTTAAGCCCAGCGAGCTACTGTTTTTAGTCAGTATTAGGAATAACAATGGCTGTCAAAAATAACAATACGCTATTGAAAACCACTGTGAAGTAAGCCATTAGCTGGTGCCGCGAACTTTAAAATATCTATAAACCACTCGACTGAATTTTACTAAAAACTGAATTTTAACCTCGTCTGCATAATTCAAATCTCCATACCCCATAACTGGTCTGGTAATTATTTACTTGTTTCAGTGCAGTCTCTTTTCCGAGCCACACCCAGATCAGATCTGCGATTTAGTTCTAATTTACTCGTGTTTTTCACGTGGGACTCGACCCCCACCCCTCGACCCCACCCCCTCTACTGACAGCAATTCTTGCACCAAACTTAAGTCATAAAACTTGTCATGTTAGCGATTGTAAAATAAATGTGACGTGACTGAGACCGATCGCCGATCATCATCAGATGATATGGAAACCTTTTGTGTGACTGGCGACTCAGAGAAGTCTTAGACTGTAGACTATATAATTTCGTGATATGCTAACAAATAATGCACTTAAAATACCTTGTACCCTTCAAGGCTACTTGGTTTCATTTCCAGTGAGGCAGCGGTCAAAGCTGAGGTTACACTAGCCGTGAATATTGCCATGGCAATAAGTCCTAACATGATCCAGATGATGGAGAAAAGCCTCGCAACGATCGACTTGGGAGATTTGTCCCCATAGCTGTTACATGGATTTATAAAACAATAGGTTTGAATTGGTGAAATAACGAAACTATTCAGAAACAAGATCTGACTTAAAAATGATCATCAACTTAGGGCTGTATTACGTTTTTGAACTTCTGGATAATGGTTGACAGGACTGCCCCTACCGCTCCGCCCTATGTAATTTCTACGTCAGTGAGCCATGAGGGCGCAATGGCCAAAATGTGACATCAGCACAACGTACGCCTTGTCAAATGGATGATATCAACAAGACAGTCTAAATTCTTTAGGTATAAATTCATTATAACATCGATGAAACATTTAATGGTTTCATGGGCTAATTAAAGGAGACTACGCTACAAATTAGCATTAAAATTACTGAAAGAAGTATCAAATGTTTCTTCCTGAACTGTGTTTATTTAGTTCTTTAACATACTCTGTATAATTCTATTTGTTTTTTATGGAGTTTCTGTTACTCTAACGCAAATAAAACCTTTCATCAATAACGAATAATCAGTTTTAGTATTTAAACAAATCCGGTAGTAAATGGCAATTTTCGCCCGTTTTGATTGGCTTCCGTAACTCGCAGTATCTTCGGCTGATTCATCGCATCTCCTAGAGATAGCTGTATTACAAACCGGTTACCATATATAACATTTTTGCTTCGAGTCTTTTAAGATTACTCAATTTTCCTACCCTACTGTGGTCATGGAAATAAAAGACCACCAGAATCCATCCCATGATCCTTTGATAAATGAGCGAGGAAACTCCTCACTATTCCAGTACGTGTCCTGCACAAAAAAAAACAAAAACAAAAGAAAAGAGATAGAAAAAACGTAAAAAGTACTTCGAATTGACGCTTTCTTTTTAGTAGCTGCAGGTCTCTTACGATGCAGTGACAATTTTATAAAACCTTTGCGCGCATTTTAACTTTTGACAATTTAATACTGTTCCAAAAAGTCCATCTCTCGCCTATTAAAACAGGCTGGCTGTAGACTAGAGGAAACGATTGCAGCGCTCATAAATTAGGAAATGGTCTGTTTGCAATGCAATCCAGTAGCAATATTTTATGGTGATATTTTTTTCTTTAATGAAGAAAAAATACGTCAGGAATAGGCAGACTAAAGGGGCTAAGGAGCAGCAAACTCAAGATTTACGTTTTTCTTTTTTATTATTACAATGCGTTTACAGCAGGTTCTAGGCGTCTACTTTCCTGCACAGTCACTCACCAGAGCCCACATAATAATTCCAGCAATAGCTGTGAGGACAAGAGTGACA